TACAAGTCCCTTTTTTCAATTGCATAGATTAGTCAGTACCTTTTGCGCTTCCGTCCAGAGCACAAGCATAATTCTCGAAACAAATTCTCAAAATAAAAGCGATTTTTTAGTTTAATCCAGTTTCAGATATTTATTTATTTTTGCACCTTTAACCACCAAACAATAATTACGCGCTCGCAAATAATCATTTTTTCTCCTTTTTTTGAAAAAAAATTATTTTGTTTAATACAAATTTTAATTTCTATAAATTAAGTAAAATAAAATAAAAATAATATTAAATAATTATTTACGGGAGAGTTGTCAGGGTTGGTCAGTGGTTAGGGTTGAGACACCGCGTTTATTTTGTTTGATCACACTAGCGCCATCTTTCTTTGTATGTAAATTCTTGCTACTAATGTCAGCCATCTTTTCATATGTGTCGCAGTGAGTATACGAACGTATACTTGAGTATTGTGCGACTCTGTGATATATATTTTCGTATTAATGTTGAAGTTATTAACACAGTGCACTGAAAATCCCCACATTCTAAAGAACTTTTAGAATACTAGCTCCTCCGACGGCCGCAAGCGGCCGTCTACGGTGCTAGTTTTTATATGTCCATTGTCCAAGTCCATTATTTCATTAATAATAATATTTAAATTTTTTCAGTTAATAATTTGCTTATTTATATTTGAAATGTTGACGTTTTTTTGACAATGCAAAATAAGATTTATTATGAGTACTTTCTCTTAACAAAAATAAAATTTATATATTCGCGCTCTTTTTAAATAACGTACGACTGCAGCACCACCTTCACATTGTTACGTCAAAACGAGAAACCTTTTTAAATATTCCTAGCGTTCCTCGTTTTAAATTAGTTTCATAACTGAATCTAATTTGGGATGAGGATAAGTCAATGAGCCTACTAAATGTGAGAGAATAATTTATTTAAAAACCAACAAGAAAGAAAAGAGTTGACAAATTTACAATGAGTACAAAAATTATGAATCTTACTTAAAGAATAACGATTACTGGTGGTGTGATGATAATCTCCTGTCTAATCTCAATGGTGTTGATCGCTAGACGAAAAGGGGCCTTCCGCTTGTTGTCCTTAATGGTTGGGTATTAATCCTCTTGTTTACACTAATGAGATAGTGTATTGTATTTTGAAAATATCTGCTTTCTTCCAGACGGTTGTCGCCTCTTGAGCAAATTTCGATGGTTCGAAATTTGGAATGTGTTGTTTCAATATTAGATCTTCTTTGATTGTTGAGATTATTTACAATTTAATAATTTTGGAAATTGTTTAAAATTTATATTTTGCAAATTGGTGTATAATAAAAGGTTGATTTACAGTTCACTTCAAATTTAACACTTGGGGATATATTGTTCACTTTCGAACAATGCACTTTGAAAAGAATACTTGGAGATATACTGTTCACTTTCAAAGATGTACTTTGAATTCACTTGTAAATTATGTGATGTGTTAACGTTGACTGGACGATGTAAACTGGTTGATTCCCAAAAAATTACTCTCTATCTCTTGTACTGAACGATGTGTTCAGGTTGATTCCCAAAAAATTACTCTCTGATCTGAGTAGAACTCATATCCCCTTTTATATAAAACTGTCTTCATCAATTCTTTGGAATCATACACGTGTTGATGCCGCTTGGATTTTAAGGGGGGTTGGAGCGACTAGGCTGCAATGCCGTGATGACTGTCTAAAAGGCTGCTAGGTTGCAATCCAGAGCGATAGTTTAAGGGGGGTTGAGGGGCGACCGTTGTACCTCTCAGTTCAGTTTCCAGGGATTAGACACCTGCCTGCTTGTTTTATGCACTCTAATGATTATTGGATTATAGTAATCTGCTTGATGGATTATCGTTATTCTTTTTACATGAAAAGTATTACCCATCTTTCTTGGATTTGTTATAATTTATAAGTTTGTTTAAATACATATAAAATTTATAATAACAATTACCTTCTTATAAAATATATTTAATATAATGCAATAATATGAAGAGATTGTATGAATACGTATTTCAAATACGTTAGTATAATATATGTGACTGTCCACGAGAAAACACGGCTTAGGTCCAAAAAATCAATTTTGAGTTTTCTATGGTAATCGACAGATTTTATGTTGCTTTTTAAAATGCAAAAGTCAAAAGTTAAAAATATCAATTACTTTCGACAATATATAGTTTTAAAGATAGGTATGTCAAGCGTAGTTTACTTCAATCGTTGACTGTCCACGACAAAACACGGCTTATGTCCAAAAAATCAATTTGAGTTTTTTATGGTAATCGACAGATTTTATGTTGCTTTTTCAAATGCAAAAGTCAAAAGTTAAAAATATCAATTACTTTCGATAATAATATATCGTTTTAAAGATGGGTATGTCAAGCGTAGTTAACTTCAATCGTAGTACTTCAATCGCTCGCCCTGTGAAATTCATGTTTGGGAGCTAAGCCGTGTTTTCTCGTGGACAGTCACATATATGTATAATTCAATATGTTTAAATGAAATACACACCTAAATATTATAGATAATTTAAGTATATTAAGAAGTTACGGACGTAACAACATGTACAAACAATTTTAAAAACACCCTTCTATTAAGATTTTACATTCTCATTGCCCATTCTTTACTTCGATACTTTTCGATACATTCGACCTTTCCACTCCATGTCTTTTTTAAGAAAGGAAAGATAACCAAATACAGTCGTGTCTCATCATTGCAAGAGTCGTGAAAATTTCCCACTCTTCACCAGGGTTAGGAGCGTAAAATACCTCAGGTAAATTACATGGATTTTTACAGTAAAATACCTCGTATTTTACTTCAAAAGTTTTATACACAATGTATTTTTTGGGAGAGAGGGGTAAAATACGTATTTTACATATACAAGCGCTTGCAATATTGAGAGTCTTCAAATTCCGAATATTGCAATAACGAGACACGACTGTATATTTAATATTAGAAGAAAAAGTTTCTCCGTGTGACACTGGAATTTTTTTTAAGCACAATTTAATTTACAAAAATGGGTTTCTTATCGCGTGTTGTTTGTTAAATAAATAAATAAATCAATAGTAGGAAATAATAAAATATTAATAATTTATTAAATAATAATAATTTTTTTATTTATTATTTTTTTTAAATTTTTATTTATTATTTTTAATGATAGTTTTGAAATTTAAAAATTCGAAGAAAAGAATTGTCATTAAGCGAATGACAAAATATGTTTTGATATCTAAAGAAATGTGTAAATGGCATAAGAAATAAGGGAAAGCAGGATCTTTTGCCGTTCTATTACAACTATTTGAGAAGGTCGTTTGAGGAAAAAAGGAGAATAATACGAACTTGATATGAATATATATATATATATATATATATATATACCAACAATTGTTTCACTTTTTTTACCATTCAGTCATGTATTACTTGTATATATATACCTTATTTTTTCAATTTAACATTTTTTACTTTTAAATTTGAAGAAGTTAACAATTTTCCCGAATCAATCTACACAAATAAATTAAATATCTTAAATAAATCTCGATAAGCTCATGGGCTTCATAAGTATCGACAGCACAGCTGCCCTAATACAGAAACCTGCTTAATTTGAAAAATATTTTCGCAATTAATTAATAATTTCAAAATTATCAAAGAACTCAGAGAAAAACGGTAGCATGGTGGGATACGAGCCCACGACCTTTCTATTGCCGGTAGACTGCTCTGACCACTGAGCTACATGCACCCCGAGACTCTCCGAGTTCCTTGAAATATACTATCCCTTCCTACATTATTTTAATGATAACGTAGGAAGGTTCTTAAAGATGGTAAGCCTAATTTTACAATTCATAGGCAATTATAATAATTGAAGGAAGTGAATTTATCATTCGGTGATTAAATATTAAATTTGAAGAAGTTAACAATTTTCCCAAATCAATCTACACAAATTTGAGATTTATTTAAGATATTTAATTTATTTGTGTAGATTGATTCGGGAAAATTGTTAACTTCTTCAAATTTAATATTTAATCACCGAATGATAAATTCGCTTCCTTCAATTTTTTACTTTTGTTTGTGCAACGCTAGGAGCAAAAGTTTTTTTTAAGTTTTTTTCTACACTTTTACGAATTATTTCTTAAGGAAATTCTGAGGAAATCGTGTAATATTTCCAAATATTAGGTGATAGGTTTTGAAGGTACACACCTCAGGAATATTTACCACCAAAAACTTTGATGAATTTGCAAAGCAGTTTTTTTTTATTTGCATTGTATCAGAGTTTCACGAAAATTATTATTAATTAGAATGTTTTTTTCATTAAAATATTTATTTTCAATGAAAAATAATTATCTTCCAATGAGAATTAAACCCTTTAATATTGTTTTCCTGATAATTTCAAACATTTTTTTTGTTATTTAAAAATATTATTTATTTAATTAAAATTCAATCCTGTATTATTATTTACATTATTACAACCATTGTTCACATGATTCTTTATGTTTATTGTTATTGTAGATTATACAAATGCAATATTGTAGATAAAAAACCCAACTGGCCGGTTTACCCCAGGGGGTGGGGCAAACCGGCCAGTTTGCAAAATTTTTTAAAGTTAACACAGCAACTAAACAATAAAAGATAAAGTATAGGTGTCTCTGGGAAAAAGTTGCGCAATTAAATGATCTTTCAAACAAGCCATCGAAAAATGAAATCGGTTGATTCGTTTAGTCACAAGAGTAAAAAAACCGTAGGTATGGCCGGTTTGCCCCTTAAGTATAATATAAATTATTAAAATTTTCTATAAAAAATTAATAAATAAAATAAATTATCGAAGAAAAAATTCCGTTATTTATTTAAATAAATTATAAATATTTTCGTTGATAAATTAATAAATAAAATAATAAAGTAAAAATAAATTATCGAAACAAATAATTAAAGTAATAAAATAGAAATAAAATGTTTAAATAAATTTTTAAAACATATTCGATATTAATAATTTTTTTGTTAAATTCACAGGTCTCATGATGGAGTCAGAGAAGAAAATTTTCGAAATGATGAACAAAAAAGCAGCGATGTCAAAATATTGGATGCCATTGGTTTGGGCAACGAATATCATTAACAGGGCAAGAAAAGAGTCATTAATCACCAGTGATCAAGTCGTGCAAACACTCCTCGTTGAACTGAGTGACATTAGAAAAAGACTTGGAGCACTGATTGGTTATGATACTGTTTGCGTTCCTCTCGTTTACACTCAGGTAAATTAATAATCAGATTCAAATAATTGAAAAAAAACTTTCGAAACAAAAAAAATTTAATTTTCACTTTCTACAATTTTTTTTATGTTTTCATTCAAATAAACTAGGATAGTAATATTCAAATAACTAAAACTGTCATTATAAATATTCTTTTTTGCGAATTAGTGAATTAGTAATTAGTAGTAATCAGTAAAAATAATAAAATATTATTTAAATTATTAGTTTAAATAAAAAAATTTTTTTTTTCTTCGCCTTCTCTTTATGCTCTATAATCAGTGTTAACCCCTTCGCAGTCAAGACCAAAATCTCACAAGTAGGCTCAAAATGTCGACAACTTTTTAGAAAACTAAAATTTGCGCAAGCGAGCAAACTATTGTATTTGAAGTCGCTGATTACGAATCCGATATTAGATTTCGAAAATTCAAAATGGCGGATCCAATATGGCAGACATGAAAATGAAAAATCGACTGAATTCACTTGAAACTTGTTACTCAGGGGTTTTCGGGGTCGCTGATTACGAATCCGATATCAGATTTTAAAAATTCAAAATGGTGGATCCAATATGGCGGACACCATTTTCTAAAATTCATCGGATTCACTTGAATCTTTTTACTCGGGGGTTTTCAGGGTCGCTGATTACCAATCCGATTTCAGATTTTGAAAATTCATATTAACGGATCCAATATGGCGAATGAAGTTTTCTAAAATTCATCGTTTTCATTTGAAACTCGTTACTAGAGGGTTTTCGCTGATTACGAAAAACTTTTGAAACGATAATAAATACAAAATTTTCCCCCGCAGTCAGTTGTTAAGTATACTACTTTACTTACGACACCAGAGTTTACCACGTGGAGGTATGCAGTCGGATTTTACACTTTTTTATTTATTTTGTTTTTTTAATATTTTTTTGTTTGTTCTTATATTGGATCCGCCATTTTCAAAACAGATATTACATTTTCAATCTACCACATCAATAAATCCCAAGTAACAACTTTTAAGTAAATCTGATAAATTTTTTAAAATGGCGCCAGCCATATTCGAACCGCCACATTGTATTTTAAAAATCTGATGCTAGATTCGTAATCAGCGACCCCGAAAACCGCCGAGTAACGAGTTTTAAATGAACCGGACGAGTTTTTAAAAATGTCGTCCGCTATATAAGATCCGCCATTTTGAATTTTTAAAATCTGAAATCGGATTCATAATCAGCGACCCTGAAAACCCCTGAGTAACAAGTTTAAAGTGAATCCGATGAATTTTTTAAAGGTCCGCCATATTGGATCCGCCATTTTTAATTTTTAAAATCTGATATCGAATTCGTAATCAGCGACCCCGAAAACCCCTGAGTAACAAGTTTCAAGTGAATTCAGTCGATTTTTTATTTTCATGTCAGCCATATTGGATCCGCCATTTTGAATTTTCAAAATTTGATATCGGATTCGTAATCAGCGACCCTAAAAACTCCTGAGTAACAAGTTTCAAGTAAATCCGATAAATTTTTGAAAATGTCGTCCGCCATATTGGATCCGCCATTTTGAATTTTTAAAATCTGAAAACGGATTCATAATCAGCGACCCTGAAAACCCCCTAGTAACAAGTTTCAAGTGAATCCAATGAATTTTTTTAAATGTCCGCCATATTGGATCCGCCATTTTGAATTTTCAAAATCTGATATCGAATTTGTAATCAGCGACCCCGAAAACCCCTGAGTAACAAGTTTCAAGTGAATTCAGTCGATTTTTTATTTTCATGTCCGCCATATTGGATCCGCCATTTTGAATTTTATAAATTTGATATCGGATTCGTAATCAGCGACCCTGAAAACTCCTGAGTAACAAGTTTCAAGTGAATCCGATGAATTTTTGAATATGTCGTCCCTAATATTGGATCCGCCATTTTGAATTTTTAAAATCTGAAAACGGATTCGTAATCAGCGACCCCGAAAACCCCCGAGTATCAATTTGTGGACAAATCTGTGTGTTTTTGTAGCCAAAAATCTGCTTGCGTCTATACACGTCATCGACAGTTTGAGCCCACCTGCACCATGACGTGTATACACGTCATCGACTGCCAAGGGGTTAAAAGACAGTGATACTATAATATCACTATATATTATACATAAAAATTTATAATTATTGATAGATTTCACAAATAAGGCACGCTGTTGAATCATGATAATAAAATTTATCAATGCTTGATGCGCAAATAAAATCAATAAGTATTCACTGTGCACATGCAATTGATTATTATTATTATTATCATATATCTCAATTTCATATGTAAAAATATATCAGGAAAAAAATTTATTTTGATAATTCAAATAATTAAAAAAAATATATTTATATATTTTAATTTATTTATTGAAAATTTGAAACTAAACTCACTTTCTTGAACAAAATTTAAAAAAAACTCAATTAATATTGCAATTAAAATTCACACACTAATAATACTTTTGTATAAATATTGAAAAAATGAAAGGAAAAAAAAATAAAAGCGAAAATATCGAATTTTCCAAGCAAGCGTCATTTTACAAAAACAAGTGTCAGTGAGAAATTAAATATGGGATCATTTTCCGCTACAACAAGCCACAAAGTGATGATAAATCGAGATTTAATATACTAGTTAAATTTCAATTATTTTCATTCTAAATTTAAAACTTCGATAAATTTAAACATTTTATTTTTGTATTTTTCGTTTTCAAAAAAAAAAATTAATTAACTTTTTGATTGAAGAATATTTTAATTCTGAATTTTAGTAATTAAATAGTAATTAGTAGTTAATAATAATTAATAACTAATAGTTTAAAATTAATAGTTAGTAATAAATAGAAACTAATCAGAAATTAATAACTAATAATAAATAATTAGTACTTAGTAATTAACAATTAGCAGTTAGTATTTAATAATTAACAGTTTGCAATTAATAATTAATCATTTAAGAAATCGATAAAAATTTAATCTAAAAAAATCTTTTTCACTCAAATTGGGAAAAAGAAATATTGCAATCTCTTTAGTGAAGAAAAAATACACTTCTATTTTTAACTTTAACAATGAGAAGAGAAATAATTTAATTTGACATTACGTAAAATAAAAACAAACAGAAATTTTTTTTTCATTTTGAGAATAAAATTTGTTTTGTTAATTAATTATAAAAATATTGTTGGTGTAAAATATTAAAGTGTATTATTTATTCCATTTGTCTGGTATTCACAATTACTTCATTAATTAAGAAAACCAGTCAAAGCATAAATATAAGTTGAAATTATTTCTTGAAGACAGAGATGATGATGAAGAAAAAGAGAAGAGAAAAAGATGCCGCTGCCGCAGATCATTATTATTGTTAAATGGTGTACCTATTTTTGTTACAAGAAAACTTTTATTCTCATAAAGAATATAGAAACAAGTCTCTTTGTGTTGATAACAAGCATTTCGAATTGTTAAAGAAAAATTAGCATTTAAAAAAAAACACTCGCGATATTTTTTTTCTTAAAAAGAAGCAATTGAAATTTTTTTTTCATTAAATTTAAGTCTATTTTAGCAAACTTAATACTTTCAATGTTACTTTCTGTGAAAAAAATATTTATTTAATTATTTAATTGTTAAATTAATCATTTCAGTTATTTTATTATTCATTCCCGAGTCGAACTTTTAGACCTGCTTACCTCCTTGTAAGTATAATTTAACCCTAACCTGCACCTAAGAAACCCTTGGTGTTCTTTTCCTCCTGCGTAAGTTCTATTTAACTCTGACAACTCCTTTTTAAGTCCTAATTGAACCTTAAACCCTGTATTGCTTCTACAATACATATTCTTACAATAGCAAATGTTACGCGCGGAACGAGATATACAACTTATTATTGTTATGCAAATTACAAAATTTTTTATTTTGAAAATTTCAATTCATTTTATAAATAGTAAAATTCTTTGCAGGAATTCAATTATTTTAATTGAATTCCTTGAATGAATTCAAATATTTTTAAATATTTTCATAAATTGCAATTATTTCCTAAAACTTTAATAAATTCTTCGAAACAATTCAACTATTTTGATAAATAATAAAATTCTTTGCAGAAATTAAATAATTTTTAATTCAATTTAAATAAAATTAAACAAAAGAATTTAATTATTTTCAAAAATTTCCGAAAAATTAAATTTCAACAAGAATAATAAAATTCTTTTAAGAAATTCAATTATTTTCCAAACTACTTTAATTGAATTTCACGAAAAAATGTCATGATTTTTAAATATTTCTATAAAATTCTTCATAACAATTTAATTATTTCTTAAAATTTTAATAAATTCTTTGAAACATTTTAATTATTTCCCGTGTAGAAAAATTGTTGGGTTCTAGTGTGGTGCCAGAAAGACAGTCTATTCTCTAACTGGGCGCTGAAAAGACTGTCTGATCATGGGCTAATCAGACCAGTGACGATCGAACCACGCGTTGGTCCAGACTGGACAAGCTATTCAGGGCTAATGAGCAGTGCTAATATTTAAAATTTTAGGTTCGATTTCAATATTTCAGTTTTTTAATTATAAATAATTTACCCAAATTTACTCGGTCCTCACGTTTATTCAATGTAATGTGAAAATATAAATTATTAATAATAATAAATATTATTGTTATTCATATATATGTGTATATGTATTTAATGACAATAACTTATTATTATAATAATTATATTATTTTCAAATAAATAATATACTGCACTAGCAGTAAATATCATTTAAAATAGTAATATTGAAAAATAATTTTAATAAAAAAACAATTTGCGTTAATTGGTACATCTTTTAAATTCATTCTTTAACAGGCATTTAACATTATTTACAAACAAGTTTACAATTTTAATTTGTAACACTTATACAGATTAAATATAGTAATTTTATTATTTTATATAACACTTACAATGAAAAATATCCGCTCGCATGTGGGATCGAACTCACGCCCCCCACCCTTGACGACCCGACTCGAAGCATTTAAACCGCACGGCCACTGAAGTCT